TTGCAGATTAAACAATTAAATTGTTGTGTCTTGCTTTTTTATTTCCATGACTTTAAATAGAATTCAGGTTGAAATGAACTGGATTGATCAGAGATGTTTCTAAATATGTCAGTTGTGCTTTTTTGATATGCATGGATGTAATTCTACTATTTTGCTGGCATAATTGCTAGCAAATCCCCATAACTGATATTCAAATTTTAGTACAGATATTAGTAAAATTGTGTCTCAGTTATCAAAATATCAAATTTCATTTGAGCAAAAGAAATGAGGGGAGATAATATGGATGTGTTAACTTATTCTTATCTTCTCTGATAAGCAACATGGTACCCTGCTGCTTTCTCTAGCTACTTACTACAGAAAGAGTACATGGCCATGAGATGCATGGAGTCTTTAGTATCTAACTGAACACAAAGAAACTTCTCCAATGGCTAGTCATATTAAGTGATACAAGAGATGCATCCACTGGAAAAGACTGTGGCTCACTTTGAGGGTGAGTATAATGTCACAGGATCAAAATATTTGAAAGAGAGAATTTGGAAGCTAAGGTTAATTTAGAATCTACAATTGCTCACAGTTTTCTTCCCCTCTACAACCAATTCAAGTCTCTCGTAGACTCCTGAATCAAAAAGCTGATAGAGCCCATAAGTAGTAGCAGAAGTCAGTGAAACTAGAGGATCAATAATTGTATATACACACACACACACACATATATATATGAATGTCTATATACACACACATATATATGAATGTGTATATACACACATTCCTGCATGTATGTGGAAGTGTATACACAGATATATATCTATACATATTTTTTTCTTTTTGAGACAGAGTCTCATTGTGTTGCCCAAGCTGGAGTTCAGTGGCATGATCTCGGCTCAATGCAAACTTTGACTCCCGGGTTCAAGCAATTCTCATGTCTCAGCCTTTCAGGTAGCTGGGAATACAGTCATGCGCCACCAGGTTCAGCTAATTTTTGTATTTTTAGTAGAGACGGGGTTTCACCATGTTGGCCACGCTGGTCTTGAACTCTTGGCCTCAAGTGATCCGCCTGCCTCAGCCTCCCAAAGTGCTGGCATTACAGGCATGAGCCGCCATGCCATGCCAGGACTATATGTATATATTGAAGATAAACACATACATATATGGAGATTATAGATATACACACATATATATCATATATATCCATGCATCCATACATATGGTGTGTATATGTATATATCTATATGTGTTTACTATATGCGCACATACACACACACCCCATATATATATTTCCACAAGTATGGTATGTATATCTCTAGATGTACATACCAGATATATATTTATATATATATTTATATATATCTGGTATGTACATCTAGAGATATACATGTATCATATGTGTATCCATATATGGTATATATAATCTCTTTATGTGTATCTATAATCTCCATATATGTATACGTTTATTCTCTATATATGTATAAATATATATACATTTATACATTTCCACATACATACATGTATGTGTGTATATATACATATATTGATATATGTATGTGCATATACAATTATTGATCCTCTATTTAGTTTCACTGACTTCTACTACTACTTATGGGCTCCACCAGCCATTTGATTCAGGAGTCTGAGAGATTTGAATCTTAATGGAGGGGAAGAAAGTTACGTGCAATTATAGATTCCAAATTAACCTTAGTTTCCTAATTCTCTTTTTCAAATATTTTGATCCTGTGACACCATACTCAACACCTTCTTCTCAAACTGAACCAGTCTTTTCCAGTGAAAGTATATTCCATATCCATACATACATGGATATACATATACACACACATATGGATATATCCATGTACATATACGGAAATTCACATACATGTATGAATACATATATACATACACATTTATATATGTATTTGATTGATTATGGCACAACTAGCTACTCAACTGATTTTTTAACAAATCCCAATTTATGCCACTTACAAAAATAAATGCCTTCTGGATTAAAGACAACCACAAAAAACACTTCAAGAAAATCTAGCATATCATATATACATATATGTATAATCTATAGGTGGGAAGAGGCTTTCTTGTCCAAATAGAGAAGATATAAAAGAAAAGACAGACTGGGGTGGGTGGAGGGCGGAGGGATAGCACTAGGAGATATATCTACGGTAAATGACAAGTTAATGGGTACAGCACACCAACATAGCACATGTGTACATACATAACAAACCTGCACGTTGTGCACATGTAACCTAGAACTTAAAATATAATAATATTAAAGAAAAGAAAAGACAGACTTACTTGATCATATAAGAATTTAAAACTTTTTTGTTAAAAGAAAGATTCCACAACAAGGTCAGTAGACTAATGATAGGTTTGGAAATATTTGTGACGTCAACAACAGTTGGGTTTTTTGTTTAGATTTGTTTTGTTTTACAAATTGACAAAAACAAAGACAATAAACAAATGGATAAAAAGAATAAAGAATTCAAGGCCGGGCGTGGTGGCTCACGCCTACAATCTCAGCACTTTGGTAGGCTGAGGCGGGCGGATCACGAGGTCAGGAGATGGAGACCATCCTGGCTAACATGGTGAAACCCCGTTTCTACTAAAAATACGAAAAAATTAGCCAGGCGTGTTGGCAGGAGCCTGTAGTCCCAGCTACTCGGGAGGTTGAGGCAGGAGAATGCTGTGAACCCGGGAGGCGGAGCTTGCAGTGAGCCGAGATCGCGCCACTGCACTCCAGCCTGGGCGACAAAGAGAGACTCCATCTCAAAAAAAAGGGAATTCAAATAGATTCAAATAGGAAATTTACATAGGGGCAATGAACAACAAGCAAATGAAAATATTCTCACATTAAATCATAGTCAGGGAAATGTAAATTAAAGTTACAATGATATATATTTTTTTATATCCATCAGACTGGGAAAAATTGAAATGATCAATAATCTCTATTAGTGGTAGGTATATGGAAAAACGGATGTTCATACAGGCTGAGAAAAATTTAACTGTAAAAACTATTTTGGAAAGCCATTTCGCAGCATACATTAAAAAAATTGAAGATACATGCGCCATTCAACCCTGCAATCTCTCTCCTTGGCAACTCTCCCAGACCAACATTACATAGAGCATGTGTAAAAGCGCACCTAATGTCAGTGCTTATAATAGCAAGAAAAGAAGAGGGGACAGGGATCAAAGTCAATGCCAATCAACAGGGAATGTCTGAATAGGTAACAGCTCATCCACACCATGGATTATTAGGCAGCAGTTCCAAGGAGTTAGACTCATTAGAGCTAAATATCCACTTACAAAAGATTTCTGTACAGTTAAGCTTTACATGAAAAATAGAGATGCAAAAAGTATACATTATGCAATGCTCATAAAACAAACAATACCAAAACTTCCCTTATACATGTGTGTAAGTGTAAAATGTGTATATATGATTATGTGAGCAAGGGGGACAATGTAAAAGTACATATCAAGTCACAAACAAGAGTTACATGGCAGAGAGGGGTGCAAAGGAGGAAAGAGAGGGAAGAGAAGCTAAGCAAAAGTTTTAAAATACTTATCTAAATAATATATAATTATACGTGTGAGATAACATGTATGCATTTATGCAAAAACTATATATATGCTTGTCTATATGAGAAATTAGAAAAAGATTGAAAAGCTAGTCTAAAAGCATGCTCAAATCATGACATTAAAATTAATAAAAAATATCTAACATTTGCAGAGCCCTTTCTATTGGCAGACACTGTTCTAAATATGTACCAACTCATTAATCCTCACAACAACCCTACAATGGGAATATTAATATCTTTGTTTGCAACAAGAGGAGAGTCCAGTTTACTTCTCTACAACTTTAGAATAGAACATTTCATTGCAATTGCAAAACTGTAATTAAATCAATCATTTTATTTGTTTCTTTGCTAATTTTGGTTTGTTTTCTTGGATGTCTGGATTTAGAAGACAGAATTTAACAGGATATCGTAAATAAAGAATTTAACAGGATACCATAAATATATCTACCCAACTAGCCAAGGTTGGTGAAAGTCATCTAAATCAAGGACAACTGTCTTCACAAGTAGCCTCTTCCATCACTCATTTGTTCAACCAGGAATCACGGAACACCCTCTGCACAATTCTGGGCCCTGGGGATTTGTTGGTGGCTATGGCAGCCTCTGAATATTTGATGGCTTGGAAGGCTAACAACTCATGTTGCCCTAGTGCATTTTGACCTCTTATTCTGAAACTAGGTGAGAACAATTTTTGACAAAATTATGGGGCAGAATTCTAATCCTTCCTGGGACAGAGACAGCTTCCAACGACCCGGCAGCTTTGCCTAATCCAAACTCATGCATGGAAAATAACAGTGAAAGAGCCACAAAAGCAGCCTCGCTAGCTGCCTATGACTGGCACATAGCAAATAATTTCTTCATCACTAGTGTTTTAGAGAGAAGTTAGGGGTTGCTAGTTTTTCCTTCTATTTTCATATCTAATTTAAGTATTCTTTGACCTTCCTCCTTTATGAAGAGATGCGAAGCACCAGATCATCAACAATACAATGCTTTATGCTCAAACACCACGACTCCCCACTCCATTTCTCTCCATTCTCCTCCGATATCCACTTTGTGAGACCCCCTACTAAGGTCACTGTTAAAATAGAGATTGTGATTGGGTAAGGCTACAGAAAGTCAGTAACGAATTTATTAAGCAAGTAGATGCCAGGGCACTGGTCTACTGCTCTGAGTTTGGATCCTGATGAAGTCCTGAATCTGTAAATACACAAATGAAGAAAGCACTTCGATGTCTTGTAGCTCTGAGTGTCCAAGAGCCAAGATGTTCAATTGCACATGTGTGTTTTTGCAGGCTTCTGGCTTTTGCTTCTCTCTCTGAATCTGGCTGCCTCTCACACCACTTCTGGCAAGGTACACTCTGGGGAGGCCTGAACAAAGTTTCCATACAGTCACTCCCTTCGGTTAATCATTAGCAGCTCTGGTAAAAGTTGTTGGTGGGGCCGTTGGAAACAACAAACTGAAAAGATGTTTTTAGTTTAACCATGAAGTTCATTCGTCTGGGGATTTCAGGAATCCTGTCCAACATACACCAAGATAACATTGGGCAGAGGTAAGACAGTGAACTAAGAAATGATAGATAATCTCTTCTCTGTAACTAATTAGCTAGGTGACCCTGGTCAAAGCAGGGAAGGTAACTCACAAAGTGACAAGCTGGGAACTCTGTGTTCTCTCATTTAATCCTCATAAACACATATAACCTATGTATTTTTCTCTCCATTATACAAAAAGACTTAAATCCAAAATTCTCTAAACTTTGCATTAAACCAGCTTCATGCCATTTAATTTACCCAAGTCCCTGTGTCCTTACCTAAGGAAGCAAGGAGTTGGAATTAGTTGCTCTCTGAAAGGTCTTTCTAACTTTGTAAGCCTATGAATCATTTGACCTAGCAGGAAATAAACAATATTTCTCTAATAATTTCCACATAGTTTTTCTCTTCTTGGCCTTTATTTCCCAGTAAATTTGGGGGGCAAGTAGATAAAATTGTATTCTTCACATAAACATGATAAAATAGCTATTCACTCATTAGTTGTCTAATGACAACCCCTGAGGCTATTGCTTCACTCTTGTTTATATTGCTCAGTTCCGTCAGTTTAGAAGACTTTAAAAAGCAGAACTGAGTTGGCTGTTTTACGTTGGTGGTGAACTTTGTGCCTCAACTGTGTTGCAACGCCCCAGTTTACTCAACTCCACCTGGCAATTCAGCTGTTTGAGATAAAGTAGATTTTCTTTTGGGGAAACCAGTAGCAGTTTATCTTGTTCTTGCTCTACTGTTGGCATACAGATGGTTGGGCATTTAATAGACAGTCATCTGCCAGTAGGAGATAATAATCACTTTTTAAATTAAAAACAAATGAAATATGAAAGGAGTTACTGCCATCGAAGAGGAATTAAAGCCAATGCTCAGGTAGTCTTGTCTAGAGTCAACGTAAGAACTTCTGTTGGAAAACTCCACTTTTCGGTATATGTGTGAGTTTCTGCATGTGCATGCATGTGAGTGCTTTAGCATCTTGTGGATGTGTGCACGACAGGGGGTAGGGAAACTCTGGAAAAATAGCCAGTGAAGACCCAAAGCAACTCCTATTTTCTACACTCATAAGTACTGTAAGACTTGGATCAATTTCTTGTGCTTAAAATTGTGTTTTGTTTTGTTTATCTTTTCCACATCCCATATGCAGCCATTTTCTGGGAGAAAATTACACTGATAGCAAAAAATAATTTTTTAAAATTTATATAAGAAACAATGCAATGTAAGACATGTAGAAGAGAGCAGAGTATGCCTTGGTGGATTGATGAGAATGCTAAGCAAAGAAAGACATTCATGCTGCAATCTATACAACTAAGCAACCTGAAACCTCCTCCATTATTCAAGTTTGAATTCAGAAAGAAGACAATGGCCTTATTCAGCTCCAGTCAATCCTAGTGTTGTGCATTGAATTATTTTCCCCTAAAAGATGCTGACATGCTAACTCCCAATACCTGCAAATGTAACTTTACTTTGAAATAGGGTCTTTGCCAATGATCAGGTTAACATGGGGTCATTAAGGAGTGCCCTAATCCAATAGGACTGTGGACTGTGTCCTTATTAGAAGGGGAAATTTGCACACAGAAGAAGAAAAACACACACAGGGAGAATGCCATGTGGATATCAATGCAGAAATTGGGGTGATGCATCTAAAGCCAAAGAATCCCAAAGATTGACAGAAAATCCCCATGAGCTAGGAAAGAGATATGAAACAGATTCTCCCTTACAGGCTTCAGAAGGAACCAAATCTGCCAACACCTTGCTCTTGGACTTCTAGCCACCAGAACTGTGAGTCAATACATTTCTGTTGTTTAAGCCACCCAGTTTGTAGCACAGATGCCCCTCAACTTATGATGGGGTTATGTCACAATATTTTGAACTTATAAAGGATTTATCCGGATGTAGATACTTAATGTATCACTTTTGCACCATCATAAAGTTGAAAAATTGTAAGTGGAACCATAATGTGTTGGGAATTGTATTAATCCGTTTTCACACTGCTGATAAAGACATGCCCAAGACTGGGTAATTTATAAAGTAAAAGAAATTTAATGGACTCACAGTTCCACGTGGCTGGGGAGGCCTCACAATCATGGCAGATGGTGAAATGCACGTTTTACAAGGAGGCAGCAAGACAGAATCAGAACCAAGTGAAAGGGATTTTCCCTTCTAAAACCATGAGATCATGTGAGACTTATTCACTACCATGAGAATAATATGAGGGAAACTGCCCCCATGATTCAATTATCTCCCACGGGTCCCTCCCACAACATGTGGGAATTATGGAAGCTACAAATCAAGATGAGATTTGGGTGGGTGGAGACACAGCCAAACTATATCAAGAACCATATGTGCTTTGTTATAGCAGCCCTAGGAAACTAATGCACTTAGGTTTTCTCCCAGCCAGTTTCTACAACCACATGTCTTTCCTTTCTCATCTTTATTTGCACAGTGTCTCTAGAGAAGAGAGAAATACTCAAAAAGAGTTGGATCTTTTCTCCATTTTCTTTTCCTTCAATCTTGTCTTCTCTAATTTCCAGAGACTTTTTTTTTTTAATTTCATTTTAGGTTCAGTGGTACATAATTGTGTATCATAGGGATTTGGTGAACAGTTTATTTCATCACCCAGGTAATAAGCATAGTACTCAATAAGCAGTTTTTTGGATCCTCACCCTTCTCCCACCCCCCACCCTCAAGTAGGTCCCAGTGGCTATTGCTTCATTCTTTTTATCCAGATGGACTCAATGTTTAGCTCCCACTTATAAGTGACAACATGTGGTATTTGGCTTTCTGTTCCTGCGTTAATTCACTTAGGATAATGGCCTCCAACTCCGTCTGTGTTGCTGCAAACGACATGATCTCATTCTTTTTTTGTTGTTTTTTTGTGGGACAGGGTCTCACTCTGTCACCCAGGCTGGAGTGCCATGGCATAATCTCAGCTTACAGCAACCCCTGCCTCCCAGGCTCAAGCAATTCTCCTGCCTCAGCCTCCCAAGCAGCTGAGACTACAGGCACCCACCACCATGCTCAGCTAATTTTTGTATTTTTTAGTAGAGATAGGGTTTCGCCATATTGGCCAGGCTGGTCTTGAACTCCTGACTTCAGGTGATCTGCCTGCCTTGGCCTCCCAAAGTGCTGGGATTACAGGCATTAGCCACCACGCCCAGCCTTAAAATAAAAGTCTCCACTAACTCATTCTATGAGGTCAGCATCATTCTGATACCAAAACCTGACAGAGACACAACATGAAAGAGATATATGTATAAGAAGCTCCTGAAATAAATTAAAAAAAAAAAAAAAAAAAAAAAAAAAAAAAAAGTGGCTGCCTGGTGCGGTAGCTCACACCTGTAATCCCAGTACTTGCGAGGCCAAGGAGGGCGGATCACGAAGTCAGGAAATCGAGACCATCCTGGCTAACACGGTGAAACCCTGTCTCTACTAAAAATAAAAAATAAAAAAATTAGCTGGGCATGCTGGTAGGTGCCTGTAGTCCCAACTACTCGGGAGGCTGAGGCAGGAGGATGGTGTGAACCCAGGAGGAGGAGCTTGCAGTGAGCCGAGATTGCGCCACTGCACTCCAGCCTGGGGACAGAATGAGATTCCATCTAAAAAAAAAAAAATATATATATATATATATATATATATATTTAGTGGGTAATTCTACCCAAAGGCCAAGTAGAAAAGGAAAACAAAAAAAAAGAGAGAGAGCAGCTATTGAACTAACCTCAGAACTTGTCTCCCCAAAACGTTTGAGCAAAGAACCCTTGGGCCTGGATGGCCCAACAGTAAGAAGAGAATAGAAAAACTATTTACCTCTAAAGAGTCCTTCAGTTCAGATCTGATATCAAATAATCTAATTGAATTCAGATATTCTGCTTGCAATATATGCTTTAAGATAGTTGCACTGTTTTTAAGCAGCTGATTGGGCCATATATTTAGATGTTTGGTTTTCCAATTTTGTTACTGCTGTTTCTTCTTAGAGAATTATGGATGAATCCTGATACTTAGAATTAGGTTGGAGTTAGCTGTTGCCTAAAGGAGTAGCCGAAAGGACTGACATAGAGAAGATTCTTTCTCGTATTAATTTAGGAAGGAAGGTGGGTTCAAACAGCTGACAGGTGAACAGATGGCAGTGCATGCCGGGAGTTCCTGGCAAAAAATCAGTCACAGGAAGGGGAGGTTGAATGGAATGCTTTTGTGTCCAGGTTGCAGAAGAAACAGGAAGCTGAGACTAGATTTGGCAGCTTCTAATACAAAATTTATTAAAGTGAATTGAATTTTATTATAAACAAATGACAATTTATTTTTCATATCTCTGCTCAATTTCCTCAGAGACTTTTCTTGTAAGAGTTGAGCCTCTTAAGTCACTATTCTCAGAGAGTGGAAAATTCAAATATGACAATGGGGTTTAAACTGTCCATATCATTAAGCTTTGAAAAGATGGCCGGAATCTAAGAAAAAGATCCAAATATTGAGAAGATGTATTCCTTTCTTTCCATGATAAAAATCACAGAAAAAAAATATTGCATAGGCAGAGTGTTAATAAAAGATTAGGATCTTGATCTTTCAATGAGAAAACCCGAGCCTCTGGACAGTTCTAGAAAAAGCCACTGGAAGGTGTTGCTCTTTGTAATGAAGGGTTCTTCTGCCAGATAACGTGTGCTGTTGAAAGGCAAGTCTTTGCCGCATGGCTGGTCACTCTAAGCATGCCTCTGACAAGGACACTTTAGAGGTAGCCACTGTTTCTGAACCAAGCCAGTTTCAAATACTCTTCCTTGCCCAACAATGGACTATACTTCTTTTCTCACGTTGAGACCTGTCCCCAAAAGCTGTCTAATAAGCCTTATAGCAGATACCAAAGGCAATTCAAATTCACTTTGAATCATGCTTCAGGAATCAGCTGCAGCAGACGGTGGTGCAATGACACATGCAAATTGCAAATAGCTAAGATACTTTACTGAGGCTTTAAAACATCAGCTCTATTTTCAAGTCAAAGATAAATGTGTCTACTGCTTTTCTCTGGGGTCGTCAGGTTGCTGCACTCAAGGGGAAACTTCCACCATGTCTGTCCACTCCATATTTTTCATCCTTCTCCCTATCCAGCAGGATGCCTGGCAGGTTACTGGCACTGTGCTGGATATCAATGATATAATTTCCAGGGGCACAAGAAGGCCTTTTTAGTCCTTATAGAATAACATGGAAAGAAAATTCAACAAGTTATATGATGAAGTGTGATAACTATTTTGATAGAGGAAGTAGAATGTTGTGGGGATACAGAAAAATGTTTCTAATCTAGACAAGAAAAAAAAAAAAAAGCAGAGAATGCTTCCAAAAGAGAAGCTTTCTAAACCAAATGAGTAGAAGAGAGCCAGGGAAGAAAGAAAAGAGCATGTGCAATTAGTCAACAAAATCATAGCCCATAACCTAACTATGATCGGCTCACAAATCAGCCAATTGCTTCTATTAACGTCTTCCCCCAGATATCCACTGGGTTCACTCCTTAATTTCACTTGAGTCTTTACTCAAATGTCACCTTCTTACTGAGGTCTCTCCTCATCATCCTATGTAAATTACACTACACCCCCAACACTACCAATTTCTCTCCATGACATTCACCTAACTACATATTTTGACTGTTGTTTATTTTTTGTCTATTTTCTTTCATACAAATGTATGCTCCCTGAGAACAATTTTTTTTCTGTTATTTTCACTGCTGTATCTTAAACATCTAAGACAGTATTTGCGACATAACAGGTTCTTTGTAAATACATTTGGGCAGTCCATAAATACTTGCTGCCACTAACTGATGAAGGATCCAAAATGAATTTGTGGGACAGGGTATGCTAATGTTGATGATCTCCACCCAAATTTTCTGATGGTTGCCAGTCATGATCTCAGTAAGTAAGCCTTGGCAGAAGAAAATGATAATAATATTTAATGTTTATTGAGTGATCGTGGTATGCTAGACCCTGTTAATAATCAAATACATCACTTCACAGTTTCCTCAAAATAACTTTACGAGGTAGGGACTATTATCATCTCCATTTTACAGATAAGGAAATGGAGACACAGAATGCTAAGCAACTTGCTCAAGGCCTCACACATAGTTAGTCACACCTCTGATAAGTCAGGAGCCGGGATTCAATCCCCATTAATGGATCCAGAAGACTAACAATCTCCAGAAACGGAATCCATTCTGTACTCTGACAACACCGGAGACTGATGCGAAAGATTAAATCTCTGCTGGAACTACAAGAACTTTGATTCAACATTTTATGCAGGACTAGATAATTCTTTGTTGTAGGGAGACTATTCTGTGTGCTATCACATGGTTAGTGGCGTCTCTCTGGTCTCTACTCACTAGATGCCTCATGTCCCAAGTTGTGACTATCATAGGTGTCTTCAAACATTACCAATGTCTTCTTGGGTGGAAGGAGACAGGGGAGCAAAATCACCCCCAGTGGAGAATCAGTGGCTTAATGTACTCTAATAAAACTCATTATTGCACAGTGTGGCACTTTTTTCTAAGACCAGTGAAATTATGGTATCATTTCTCAAAGTTATTTACAGAAGTTCCTCAAATACTTTTATTCAGCATTTCCATGGGGACTTGTTTGCAGCTGCCCCTAAAGATGAGAATGTTCTAGAAGTGGGTAGAGACTTGAGAGGGGAGGTAAAATAGCAAAAATGACAAAAGAAGACACAAACTGTTTAATCACCTTCTTTTTTCTTAGGTTAGGACTATGCTGCCTAGGGCCCTTGTGTTTCCCTAGATTTGAAACATCAACTGACTGCAGGACCCTCTGGTCATATCAGAGCTTCTGCCACGGCTCCTAGAAGCCTTTGAAGCTGACAAAAAAAGGTTGGAAGCCACTCTCATCTGCACATACTATTTTTGCACATGATGTTCCCTCTGCCTGGAATGCTTCACTTCCACCTTCCCTTCATCACTTTCAATGATAACCCCCAGGTCTATTTCCTTGGTCAACGTTACCTTCAGAAACAATCATGTTTGTTCATTGACTTAACTGCTGAATGTCTGACTTCTTCACCACTCCCCAGTTACCACTAGACTGGAAGCTCAATGGAGTAGGGACCCATAACTCTATTAAAAACATGACTGATGCATAATGTATGTTCAATAAATATGTGTTTAAATTAATTCACTAATCCTAGACCCTACCTTATACTATTTAAGCTTTTTACATCTCTGAACCACAGACAAACATTCATGAAATGATCTTTATAGGGAAGGCATGACATGAGTCACTAGGAAGAGTCTTAAGAGTTGAGTCACTGAACATCATACTATTGTAAGCCCGAAGGGGTGGTTTGGTTTAGGCAGCCCAGTAACCATGGAAAAGACTCGCAGCCAAACTGTTGTCTATGCACCAAGATCTTCCTATCCTAGTGTGGGAACATTAGTCTCTATGTGACTCAGCAACTTTTTGCTCCTACTGTGCACTCCACCCTTGTTATTCCTTCTTGTAAAGAAGTCTTGGGACTTTGTCCAACTGACTGTGCTCACACTTCATTGTTTTGTCCTCTCTTCTTTCTCATTCAGGAGCTCTCTTGGGAATAGAAGATTTCATGTGGGCTGAAGAGAAACATAAATGTAATAGAAAAACAAAACTGGGAAAGGAAAAAAAATGTTTTTAAATGAAACTATGAAGTGACTATAGGTTGATTCATCAGTAGAAACATATGGAAACACTTATCTCAAAATTCAACAGTTATGAAACTTGAAACCTGCTTCAGTATTTTATTCAGTGGTATGTATTTGACCTTCAGGAATTCCGTGTTAACTTTCTGCTCAAAGACCAAGGAAACATCTAATTGATTGATCAAAAGATTCATAATTAGATCCATTTTTTCCTGAATCCATATTGGAGAAACAAGAAATAGATGACCTAAAAAAGAATCCTTGAGTGGATGTCTCAGCAGCCAGGAAAATTCCAAATAAAGTTTGCTTTGTGTCCAAGGGCTGAAATGAGATGAATATAATAGACCTGATAGCAGGGAGCAGGTTGCTATTCTGACCTTGGTCTGCTCAGTCTGCTCCAAACATGGCCATCATTATACAGAAGGTCCAGTCACGTCAGGGAGGCAGAAACTAGACATTAACTTCAAGTTTTCTTTCCAGTTTTTATTTCTATTATGCCATTCTTCTCCTGGTATAATGACATAATAGCACATGAATGGACTTTACTTGGCAAACCAATGATTCTAAAAATTATTTTCAAAAGTTACACAGTAACCATAACCATAGTGGTCCATCATCAGGACAATACAATTTCAAGTCTCTTTGGCAACTCCATGGGGGGAGGGGGGATGAAGGAGTAATCACCTTGTTCTGCAGTTTCCTAGTCAGGCACCTAATATTCTCATTCCACTCAGTCTCTCTCTCTCTCTCTCTCTCTCTCTCTCTCTCTCTCTCTCTCTCTTCCCTCTCTCCTCTTTCTCTCTGATCAAATGAGTTATTATTGCCTCCTCTAAGGTCTTTAGATTCTTTTGCAATCAGAAAACAGACTTTGGAATCTCTGCTTCAATACCTTCAGCTGAATATTTAAAAAAAAAAAAAAAGCAAAGTAAAAATTGTCAGCCTATGTTTATAAAGCAAACTATCTGAGAAAATAATAGTTTACTGATATAGACAAAACAGCCTACATATAGTGGCTCTGATATTAAATATTTTTATAGTACACTCATATTTAAACATATATAGTCAACCAAAAGCCAAAGGTCTTATTAATTAAGCAAAAATCAGAAAGCATATTATTAAATTTTAGTGTAACAAACACCATAACACAGGAAGGTACCACAGGGATGAGATTTAGAGAACTAATTGGGCAAAGAGATCTAGAAATAAACATTTTTTTTTTTTTTTTTGAGGTGGAATCTTGCTCTGTCACCCAGGCTGGAGTCCAGTGGCGCAATCTCGGCTCACTGCAGCCTCCACCTCTCCGGTTCAAGAGATTCTCCTGGCTCAGCCTCCCAAGTACCTGGGACTACAGGCATGCACCACCACACCTGGTTAATTTTTGTATTTTTAATAGAGACAGAATTTCACCATGTTGGCCAGGCTGGTCTCGAACTTCTGACCTCGCGATCCACCAGCCCCAGCCTCCCAAAGTGCTAGGATTACAGGCATAAGCCACAATGCCCGGAAGAAATAAACTTCTTATTTTATTCATTTATTTATTTATTTGTATTATTAATTTTTTTTGAGACAGAGTCTCGCTCTGTTGCCCAGGCTGGAGTGCAGTGGCAGGATCTCAGCTCACTGCAAGCTCCGCCTCCCGGGTTCATGCCATTCTCCTGCCTCAGCCTCCTGAGTAACTGGGACCACAGGCCCCCGCCACCACCCCCAGCTAATTTTTTGTATTTTTAGTAGAGACGGGATTTCACTGAGTTAGCCAGGATGGTCTCAATCTCCTGATGTCGTGATCCACCCGCCTCGGCTTCCCAAAGTGCTGGGATTACAGGCATGAGCCACTACGCCTGGCCATAAACTTCTTTATGGAAAGAAAATTGAAAAGAGAACGTTGCCAAATAAAAAAATGTTTGCACCACACACTTGTTACAAACAGCAAAGATGTTATTCAAGACTATTGCAAAACAGGAGAGAGATTGAACTTAACCTCTAATTATAGCAAAAACAGCTGGAGATGTATACCCAATGAGGAGAATGAGGAGGTCAATGGATCAAAAATTGCTAAGGATGAGAGATTTCTTGCAGGACTTAGCAGAACTATTTGCAAAAATGGGGCTCAACAGGCCAAATCTGAAGCCTAAATGAGAAGTTTCAAAGGAGCCTTACTAAAGTTGGCACAGAAGAGAGTCTTTGTCAACGTGCAGGTGATGGATAGAAGCAGAAACTAAAAGCCACACTGTACTACACAAAGTTGGAGAAAACTCTCTTTGTGGTTTATTGAGTTTAGGGAGATAAAAAGCACCCTGGTGAAAGGGACCTGCCCACCACATACCCTGGGGCCTCCCAGAGTATTTGGAATGGAGCATGACATTCTAAGGACATCGGGAAGTGTTTACTGAGAAACCTGAGTGAAAGTATGTCTGAGTCACATGCGACAGCAATCATGAAGTCAGGAATTTATGGAACTCTTAGTTCATCCACTCAGCATTCACTCAGCAAGTATTTATCGAGAGCCCAAATGTATTTATGGAGAGCCTATTATGTTGCAAGCACTGTCTTAGGTGCTTAAGATACAGCAGTGAAAATAACAGAAAGAAAATTGTTCTCAGGGAGCACATATTCATATGGGAGGGAAGAGACAATTTAATAAAACAACAAATAAATAAAATAGGCAGTTAAATGAATGCCATGGAGAGAAATTGGTAGTGTGGGGGTGTAGTGTAATTTAAATAGGGTGGTGAGATCTCAGTAAGAAAGTGACATCTGAATAAAGACCTCAATGAAATTAAGGAGTGAACCCAGTGAATGCTGGGGGAAGAAGTTAATAGAAGCAGTTGGCTGATTTGTAACCAATCACTGAGTTAGGGTATGGGCTGTGACTAACTGCCCATCTTCCTTTCTTCCTTCCCTGGCTCTCTTCTACTCATCCGTCAGGGTTTGACTCAGAAAGCTTCTCCTTCGGAAGCATTCTCTGTTTTCTTCTTGTCTAGATTACAAACACTTTTCTGTATCCCCACAGCATTCGACTTCCTCTGTGAAAATAGTTATCACACTTCATCATATACATTTTCTTTCCATCTTACTCTATAAAGACTAAGAAAACCTTCTTGTGCCACTCAAAATTATATGTCTGATACCCAGCACAAAGCAGGAGGCAGAATTGTGTTGGCAATCAGACTATTTGGGATTTAAATAGTGGCTGTATCACTTTCTTAATACGTGCCTGTGGGCAAGTTACTTGGCCTTTCTGTGCCTCAGTTTCTTCATTTTTGACAATGGAGGAACAGATCTAGCAAGTGCCTGGCACAGAGTAGATGCTTGATATAGGAATCTAACAAGTGCTACTTCCTCCAGAAACATTTCAGTCCACAGGAAGCATGGCCTTCTGTGAAGGTCAAAGAAAGTGTGGCCCAGTGAAATGAACATGAATTTTAGATTCAGATAAAGCTGAGTCAGTTTGAATACTCATATCCAATATTTTATAAATATATAAATGGGTATAAACATCTTTATTTCATAAGTTTGTTGAAGATTAAAAAGAGACAACACACACAGGAGCCTAGCATACAGTAGGTACTCAACAGATGCCATCATCCTTACTAATATTTATCTATTATTATCCTTCATTTGCACTTCACTATCTGATATCTTATAAACATCTCTTGTATAGTCATTTAACTTTTCCTTAGGCCCAAACTCTGGCTTCCCCAGTAGAGTGTAAGTTATTTGGGGTAGAACTGTGTGTTTCACTTCTCAGAGATTCTGATAATGCCTTGCACAAGACCATTCCCAGAGTAGGCACTCGATATGAATTGAATGAATAATAAATAGGAGAAAGAGAGCGAGAAAGAGAGGGAGAGAGGTTTTGATAAGTCAAGGGTTATATGAAGAATAGACCTAGGAATGGTTCATGGAAATCAATGTAAATGACTCTTGCAAATGAGCAGATTGAAATATATTTAGAGCTCCCTTAAGGGAAAAAAATTTCATTTCCATTCCTAGGATAGATATTTATCTGTTCAGAATCCTTCGATATAGTCCTGCCCGAAGAAAGAGGTAACCTCTCAAATTCTTTCTTGACCTATTATACAAATTCTTTCTCTCTCTCTCCCTATTTCTGTGTGTGTATGAGTGTTTTTAAAATCAATGTATCAATAAATTTAGACGGAGAGAAGACAACAGCATTGTCTGAATGAGATGCATATTTTTCCACAGGATACAAATAAAATATTCCAAGAGATAGCACAGTTAGAGTTCAACGTATTACTAAGAAAAACTAGCTATACTTTTATTAGATGAAAGAATCTCACTGCAAATAAACCAATCTGCTATTTTAATACTAAACAGAAAAACTTTGAATTATGCAAAAAAATGCACAGCTTCTGATGATTATAAAATGCATTACTAAAGGCTATGATGCATCATTTATAGACTACTATTGGAAATCTGAGCTCTGAGAGATGATTAGTTTAAATAACTATAAGGGAAAGTGGCTTGGCATATGAGGAAAGATATCTATTTCACCAAATAAGCCCACCAAACTTGAGACAATGAATTAAATAATTTACCAATCTGCTCAACAAAAGCATAGGTAAAAAGAAAGATCTATGAATCCTTTTACCAATTACTTCTTAAGTATTTATTTATTTATTTTTAATTAATCTAATTTTGTCACTCTGCCTTCCGGGCTGAGTGCAGTGGTGTGATCATAGCTCACTGCAGCCTCAACCTCCTGGGTTCAAGCAATCCTGCCACCTCAGCCTCCTGAGTAGAGGGACTACAGGTACGTACCACCACACCCAGCTAATTTTTTATTTTTTATAGACGAGGTCTCACTATGTTGCCCAGGTTGGTCTCCAACTCCTGGACTCAAGCAATTCCCCTGCTTTGGCCTCCCAAAGTGCTGGGATTACAGGCATAAGCCACTGTGCCTGGCATCTCCTTAAATATTTAAATACAGTAATATCTCTCACTCTGAGAACCAAGGACTGTTGGAATATCCAGAGACATTGTTTCAGAGGTCATACATTTTGTAAATTTTTTAAATTTTTTTGCATGTTAACAATATATATTTTTAAATCTTCTGCAGTTGTAACCATAAAACTGTATTAGTGTTCTATTACTGCTATAACAAAGTACCACAGACTTAGTGTGTTAAAACCACAAAATTTATTATCTTACAGTTCTGGAAGTCAGACACCAGACACAGATCTCACTAGACTAAAATCAAGGTGTCAACCAGCCTGGGCTTTTTCTGGAGGCTCTAGAGGGGAAACCACTTTCTTGCCTTTGCAGCTTCTAGACGCTAGCCGCATTCCTTGGCCTGCAGCCTTCTTTTGCCTTCTTCAAAGCCAGTGACGAAGCACATGTCTGACTCTGCTACCATTGTCACATCTCTTTCTCTGACCAAAGCCTGGAAAGATTCTCTAAGTATAAGAATTCAGATTATTAGATTGGGCCCACCTGAATAATCTCCCTGTTTCAAGATCCTTAAACATAACCGCATCTGCAAAGTTCCATCTGCAATGTAAGGTAACATGTTTATAGATTAGAATATAGATGTCTTTGGGGAGCCATTATTGTGCAAAACACAAGAACTCTTTCCACTTACAATTGGAACAAAAAAACAGTTTCTTGGAATAATACTTTAGCTTTATAAATCAACATTTTTCCAACTGGAGTCAGTAGACATGCAATCTTGAATACCTATCATATTTTTAAAATGTTTCTTTATTTGAGGAACACAGACATTTAGTTTTTTCTATTAGTTCTAGACCTGTTGTCTAATCAGAGGTAATTTCCATAGGAAACAGTTAACTTTGTTCAGGTCTTTGTTCACCAAAGACCTCGTCTGATAGGGATGCCATCTTGCAAAGATATACTTTGGGTTCAAGAGGGTCTATGGTAAAGGGTACAGATAACATTATACACAATGTATTCTCATTTCTGGAAAACCAACTCGGTGATCATTTTTAACTCCAGTGTATCAGTATCATTATTACCTAGTAGAAAGAAGAGTCCATTAGACAACTGTTCATAGAATAACATAGGAGAAAGACTCTTACCAAGGGACTATGAGCCTGAAGGAACTCATTTTTCCTGCTCTGTTCTTTTGCTTCTTTATTATACAGAAGAAACAGAACATCTTTGCTCAATCAACATTAGAAACAGAAGCAGTTCGCCAAGTAGCAGCTGAAAGGTGTTATAAGCAGACAAGGAATAGTGGGGATTGAACTTCTGGGGAATCTCTGGAGTCCCTGATATTCTGAGTCCTTGTGAATTTTTCTTTTTTTCTTTTCTTTTTTTTTTTTTCTTTAAGATATAGGGTCTCCCTCTGTCATCCAGGCTGGAGTGCAGTGGCAAGACCACAGCTCACTGCAGCCTCGAGCTCCTGTACTCAAATGATCCTCCTGCCTCAGCCAAGTAGCTGCAACCACAGGTGTGTGCCACCACACCCAGCTAATTTTATTTTATTTTTTAATGTTTTGAGACACAGGGTCTTGCTTTGTTGCCCAGGCTGATCTTGAACACCTAACCTCAAACAATTCTCCCACCTCAGCGTCCCAAAATGCTGGGATTACAAGTATGAGCCACCACACCCAGCCTATGAATTTTTCTTAAGAGAAAAATTCTACTATTCATGGGATTCTCAAAAGTATATGACTCCCCAAAAAATTGAGAACCACTGTTCTCACATGAAAAAACAACAACAACAACAACAACAACAGCAACAACAACAAAAAACCAACTAACCCGAGAATTCTGAGAGATGTGATCAACCAATAAAGTGGAAAATGAGAATGATTGGCAGCGAAGAGGAGAGGGCAGAAGGCATATTTATATGTTCATATGAGTAAAAGTTCACAAAATCATTGTTTCAAGAATGACTATGAGCAGGCAAAGCTCACAGAGATTTTTTTCATCATCAGTCGTCTTTTTCCTTTCTATCACACTGCACAGCCCAGCACAGCCACTGGATCCTCACAGCAACATGGAACTTGGCTTTTGCTTTTGGTTCTTGACACCATTCGTTATTGTGTCTTCAAGTGTGGAGTCACTGCATTTGTAAAACATGAGGAGGGCAGATGTTCTAAAGACACATTTACACACACACGCACACACACACACACGCAGACAGACACATGGCCTGTTGTAAAAGGAGCTATTACTATTTACTCACATCTCTCCAAATGCATTCTTCCTATCAAATTAACCCAAAATAGAAAAAAGAAAATACCACTCTGAGATACTTTTTTACATCTCATTTTTAATGATTCAGTTTACCACCCCCAACAGCAGCAGTAGACCCAAAAAAGAAGACAGTGCATTACTGGCCAATGTAATGGAACTCTACCCCAGAAACAGAAGGGGTGTGAGACCAGTTTTCTGTAAATATTTACTCACATTAACCTATGTTTAATGTGTCAAATGCCAAATTCTACAACTGAGTCAACATATTCTGATCTCTCATTGTGTCTTTTTATCACTTTTTCTCACATAAATAGTTTGGGTTTCCAAAACTCTGACATTCCATTATAAATACAGCTCATTCATGTTTTGTTAAAACACTTCATGTTACTTCTTGGATTCCAATTACCCAACAGAAGGTGCATTGAATTTGCCTGGGAAACAGGGACAATGTCTGATTGTAAAAGTTTATGGCATTCCCTCTCTCCCCTCAGAGTATTTTAGACATATAAGAAAGTTAAACCCTGGGGGAAAATATAAACAAGCTGCTTGGAATATATACATAATTACATAATCTATTTGTAAAAATTGCTACCACCATCTTGCTAGGCAGTGCAAAAAGCAAACATCTATCCCTGCATAACTTACACAGCTATTCTTTTCTTCATCTCCACCAATGGCTGAATGGCCTAAATGATAACTACATCACATCATTTGGCATAAACATACCAAGATTCTAAACATAAAATTGTGAGATTGCATTCTGCTTTCATTAATAAGCAAGGCAGTAAATATTAGATAACATCAGTAGCTTCACAGAAAATGACAACATCAAAATTTCTAAGAATACCCCAGCAAAAATATATATTTAAACAATCTTTTTTGGTGATTGGAAAAGACATTTAATTCCTTAGAAAGCAAGAGACTTCATCATATATACATACACGTATACATATATATGCACACATATATATACACATACACACAAACACACCCACATGTATCTCACACTGGATCTCGCACCTGTAAGTACCTTATACATTCAACAAAATTGATGATATAATATGGGCCAGAGGAAAGAATTAAGGATTTAGACTCAAACGAACCCATAACCTGGATTAGAATTTTATATTTGCTACTCACCAGCTGTTTAATTTGGGACAAAAGATGTTACTTCTCTGAGTCTTGGTTGTTTTCCTCATGTATAAATGGGGGAAAAAATGCCTTCTCATAAGAGTGTCGAGAAGACTTGCTTGTACCTAGCATATGGTAAGCAATGGATAAATGAAAGCTGTTAGCATTAATCATGTAATTGATCAATTCATTCACCAGATGCTGAGATCCTACTCTTTCTCGCTGGTAGTGTGCCATCATGGAACCCTGAATATACTCTGATTCAATGCAATGGTGTATATTTCAGCTCACTTTTTTTTTCTATTGTTCAATTAAACTTATATATATCTATCATCTGCACATAGTATGTGTGTGTGTGTGTGTGTGTGTGTGTGTGTGTGTAGTTTGCTTGTTTGTTTACTTGTTTGTTTTTCAGACAAAGTTTCACTCCATCACCCAGGCTGGAGTGCAATGGCGCCATCTTAGATCACTGCAACCTCCACCTCCCAGGTTCAAACAATTCTCCTGCCTTAGTCTCCTGAGTACCTGGGATTACAAGCGTGCACCACACCTGGGTAATGTTTGTGTTTTTAGTAAAGACGGGGTTTCACCATGTTGCCAGGCTGGTCTCGAGCTCCTGACCTCAAGTGATCTGCCCGCCTCAGCCTCTCAGAGTGTAGGATTACAGAGGTGAGCCACCGGGCCCAGCTTAATTTATATTATTTTAAAATTTATTTTATTTTGTTTAGAGACAGGCTGGACTGCAGTGGCATGACCATAGCTCGTTGTAACCTTGAACTCTTGGCCTCAAGCAATCCTCCCACCTTGAATCATGTGTGAGCCACCCCACCTGGCCTTAGTTTATATTCTGCACCCTCATTCTACCTGCTGAAGATGCCTGATTCAGGTATATCAATCTTTCCAACTTTTCTCTGATATTATTACATGATTTAGAGAGTAATAAAAGGAAAGATGTAAGCTCATGGTCTGGGGAAGGAGAAAAAAATAAATAAAAATTAAAAATAAATGATCTATATTTTAATATAATACGTACTACTGCAGTGTGATGATATTTTGAAATATTGGCACCATTTCTTATTTAGAGCCCCATTCTTTTGCCCTATTTTAGTATTATAGGGTTTTTGTTTTTGTTTTGGCAAGAGGGTATTATAGTAAAAAGCAGAGGAAAAGCTTTTGAGTTTCAAAAGCCTAGCCCCAAGGGAACTCAGAGACAACAAAATGGGGTTAGAGAGAGACTTCTATATGCCTCCTTCCACCCTACACCCATCTCACTCTCTACTAAGTAACACTTCTCAGAGTGTGGGGAGGAGAAAGAGTCAGAAGAAACCGAAGAACTTAGATGCAGCCGGGTCTGTAAGAAGGGTCCCTATGCAGGGGAAGGGGGAATGACATGAACCCCAAATAAAATGAAGAGCTCCCAGAATAGAAGAATGCAACCCCAGAAAAGAAATATCAGCATGCTGTATCTGGCGGAGAGTGGAGGCCGGGGATGGGGGCGCTCAGACAGCCTCATTGATTTAACAGAATGGCCTCTTGTTTCGGAGTGCAATCCAGAAAAGCGACAAGAGTCCTAGCACCCTGAACGTTCCCATTTTCCAACCTGCCTGGAAATATGCACTTTCATGTGCTCAGGAAGGGCACTAAAGTAGGGAGTTTGGCTGAATATGAAGGTCTTTCAAAGCTGAGAATAAGAGTGATGCTATATGGTGGCTCGCACCTGTAATCCCAGCACTTTGGGAGGCCAAGGCGGGCAGATCACGAGGTCAGGAGATCGAGACCATCCTGGCTAACATGGTGAAACTCCATCTCTACTAAAAATACAAAAAAAGTAAACGGGCGTGGCAGGCGCCTGTAGTCCCAGCTACTCGGGAGGCTGAGGCAGGAGATTGGCGTGAATCCGGGAGGCGGAGCTTGTAGTGAGCCGAGATTGGGCCACTGCACTCCAGCCTGGGCAACAGAGCAAGACTCAGTCTCAAAAAAACAAAAAAGAGTGATGCTATAGTCACCTGTCTGGACCAACAATCAAAACAAGAGAGAAGGCAGAGAATGGGCATCAAGTGGAGGCTAGCAAGAATAGGTGATGACTGAGAACACATTCCCTATCTCATTTGGGTCTGTATAAGCCCTTTAAGCTGCATGGGTTTAGACATAACCCCAGAGAAAAGATAGAAAAAAAATACCCTGATTTGTCTGAGCTTAGATAGCAAGAGGTAGAACGAGGGCTCTAACTGCAAATTCAATTGGGCAATAGAAAAAAATTATGAGCTGAATGTGTACCTATTGCAGTAAGGTCAAGTTGTGTCCAGGGTCACAGGATTCCACAGAGGAGATGTTGGAGGAATCAAAAAAGGGGGCTTAACTTTAAGATTGAAGGATGAAAAGGAGCTCTCTATGCAGGACCAGGAGTGCTCTGGAGAAAAGCTCTGTACAAAGGTGGGTGTGGTGAGTTTGAGGACTAGGAAGTAACTGGGTGTGCTTGGTCTTAGGAGACCAGATGCGGAGTGGGAGGAGGTGCAGCTGGAAAGGAAAACCTGGATTGGACCATGAAGACTATTATATTGAATGTCCTACTACCGTAGGGGGAACATTCTAGCAATTACGTATAGAGTGATTTAGGAGGGAGAGATGAGAGGCTTACACTAAAATTAGAGCTCACAAGTCCAATCTAGCTCAGACAGAAAATGAAAACAGAACAGATGAAAAGAGAAAGCAAATGAAAATCAAGCAAAAGAAGGCATTTAATACGTCTAGGAAGAATTAATATAAAAGAACAGGCAGAAAAGGATTTAAATGACATTTGCTTCACTTATGGAAGTCCTAGTTGTATGTCTAATTTTGATTTTATTTTTCAGAAATCTTATTAGAAAATATTTTATAAAAGATACCAAATTCTAAAACAATGAAATATCTACATTCCGGCTTGGTATTACTGGTTAGATAGATATCCCATTTCTGTACATTTTTAAAGAAAAGCTATGTGGCTAAGACACGAATGTGGTTAGTTTTGAAACAATGTTTACTTTTTCCATCAAAGGTCCATTTTCAATGAGATCTAGCTCACAAGGTAATGTTCTTTTAGGCAAGTACAAGATTTCTGAGAATTTCCTTCATTATTGCTGGGTACATTTCTTGTTTTGTTAGGATTTTTCTTTTCTATTCTAGTTTAAAATTATTGCAATATACTCTTCTTGTTGCACTATAGTTAGGGGAGGTCATGTAATAAGAGGAATTCATGTTTCTAAAGAAGATGGTGAAACATGCAGAAAGATGGATCAGAGAAAAACATCTTGTTTGCTAATTTTAATTTCTTTCCATTTTTCCTAGTTACATATTGCAGCTTCTCAGGTGCCTTTTAGTTTCCTGCTGTGGTACATAGCAAAATTGCTGGAATATGAAAAGCTTTCCTTTGGACAGAGAAATAAATACTTAAAAAGCAAAGTTTAGTTCTTCAATGCCATAAAACAAAGTTTAATGCATTTCATGTGTACTGCTATGTCCAGATGCACAATCAGCAAGTTCTTTCTTGCATAAATGCTGGGTTTAAACATTATATATCTCTTAATCATTATGTTAATGCTAAATCAAAGTAGAGAGAAGTGATGAAATGGCCTGACTATCCTAATTCTAAGGCATACACATCTCAAGGAGTGTTTTCCCTAATGTTTTTCTTTATTATATTTTTTCTGTTATAAAAATAGTTTAATCATACAAAGTAAACTGGAAAAGAAAAAAAAAATGGCACTTAAAAGACTAGAACAGAGAAAGGCTGCCCGAAGCCAGCAAAACTGGGGTGTAATTGATGAGAAGCATTACAACACACAGGAAAGAATATACTGTAGAGAATGAGGCTGGAACAACAGTAAAAGCATGGAAAAAAGAAAGTCAGAGGAATTAAAATAATCCTACACTAGTTGGGTACAGTGGCACACACCTATAATCTCAGCTACTCAGGAGGCTGAGGCTGAAGGATTGCTTGAGCTCAGGAGTTCAAAATCAGGATGGGTAACATAGCAAGACCCCATCTCAAAGAAAGAGAAAAATAAGAATAATCCAATTTGATATGCAGCAATGTTGCTATGTGCCCCATGTCCTGCAAACAAGGGCAAATGGGGGAAGAGTTCACATGCAGACCTGCTGGAGGCACATCATGGGGGTGTACTCACAGGAACAGCAAAGGTAGCAGGTAGTGTGGGATTCTCTTGCTCATCAGTTAGCAAATTGAAAAGACCAGATATCAGACTCCAGCAGAGAGACCACAACTCTTGCATGGGAGGCTTTTAAATTACATGATTAATACTGAACCGTCTCCTTACCTGAGCAGGGACCAGGAAAAAATAGCAATATGGAATAGAAGAACTGGGACTCTAAAGTGATCAGAAGCTGGGGCGCAAGCCTTGCAAGTGTCCTGTACGATGTAGCAGAGTAGAAGCAGCGTTCACAACATCTGTGTTCACGGACGGGGATGCACTCACCTCTCCCTGGAATGATGAGAACTGGGGTCTAAACCTTGGGAGATCAGTCTTGGACAATGATCCTGTTCCCAACTTTGTCCATGCTGATAAAGACCCCATTTTTTGGCAGACCATTTGGCTACACAAGATAGAGACTTCATTTCTCTGGTTTTCAATGGTGTTTCTAAGAGCCCACTCCAGAGAAGCTAAGCCTCCCCGTGGACTGGCCAAATGAGGTTTCTGCAAACTTATAGGTGGGTTCCTGAACAGGTCAAACTTTTCAAGATTGTGGCAACTTACAAAGTCCCTTTGAATAATCACCTCACTTCTCCTTCGACTTCTTCAATCTTGCCTCACGCTTTCTTTTTTTGTTTTGTTTTATTTTGTTTTGTTTTGTTTTTGAGACAGGGTCTCACTCTGTCACCCAGGGTGGAATGCAGTGGTGCGATCTTGGCTCACTACAACCTCCACCTCCCGGACTTCAGCGATTCTCCCACCTCAGCCTCCCAAGGACGCCACCGTGCCCAGCTACTTTTCGTACTTTTTTGTAGAGATGGGGTTTCACCATGTTGCCCAGGCTGGTGTCAGACTCCTGAACTCAAATGATCCACCCACCTCAGCCTCTCAAAGTGCTGGGATTACAGGCATGAACCACTGTGCCCCACCATTGCCTCACGCTTTCTGTTCTAAACTTTTAACAATCACAATCATAATGGGATGCAGTCATCTGAATTGATTAAGAGTGTGTGATATTTCAATATAATCCATAAGTTCACAGAAAAAAAAAAAAAAAAAAAAGGAGTGTAGCATATCCTGTTGTGCTAGCTCTCATTAGCCAAGAACATATGGTATACAAAGAACATGGGGGCAAAATATATATTCAGTGTCCTGTACAACTATGTGTGTCTTGTACAACTATGACTAAAAGACTATTCTGGAGTCATGCTGTCCTTGAATGTAGTTACTGGCTATACCACTTAGCAGCTGTGTGAAAATAAGCAAGTTATTTGGTTTCTCTAAGCCTCAGTTTCCTCATCTGTAAAACAGGAAAAAGAACAGCGTGGTCTCATTAGGTTGTTCGCATGATTAGATGAATATAATGTATCTAACGCTCTGAGAACTGTGCCAGGCATACAGTTAGTGCTACTAGCTGTTATTCTTTTGTGAGTTGAGACAATCCCTATAAAACACTTACTGTTCTGCCGGACTCAATGTATATGATCATTAGATGTTGGCCATTACCACAATTATTAGCCAGCCACTTAACATACCCTTCTCCTTGTTCAGCCAGCAAGGGGCAGGGCTGGCAGCAGCAGGCAGTGGACTCTTGCTGCAGTGGCCCTGCTGGTAAAGAGGGCTTCCACTGTTATCTAGCCGTCCTCCCCTGGAAGGCTGCCCTTGCTACTGCCCAACTCTGAAAAGGAAGGGGAATGATTTCCTAGGAAGACCTTCTAGAAACTCAAATGAGGAGCATCCTTCTCCACTTTCTTTCGCTAGTCTTCAAGAAACAGACACAAGGAAGGGCCAGGAGAGCTTGTCTGAAAGGCTCCGAACAGGCTGAGATCGCACAGCACAGTCCTCATAGGCACCTCAACGAACCATAAAACTTGCATTATTAAAATAGGCTTTGTTTTGAGAGCAGTTTTAGGATCACAGAGAAATTGAATGGAAAGTTTTCATAATCCCTCTGCCTCCACACATGCACAACTTCGCCACTGTCGACATCCCCCACCAAAGTGGCACGTTTGTTATAATGGATGAACCCACGTGACGCAGTATCACTCAAAGTCTATAGTTTACATTGGAGTTCACGTTAGGTGTGCTTTCTATGGGTTTTAACAAATATATGACATGTATCCACCTTTATAGCATCATACTGAGTTGTTTCACTGCCCAAGAAATCCTCTCTACTCTGTCTATTCATTCCTCCTTCCCACCTAACCTCTAGCAACCACTAATCTTTGGCTGTTGACGTTTCCATGGAATCACACAATATCTACCCTCTTCAGATTGGCCTCTTTCACTTAGTAATATGCATCTAAGTCTTTTCTTCATGTTTTCATGACTTGGTAGTTCATTTGTTTTTTTTTTTTTTGTTTGCTTGTTTGCTTGTTTTTGAGACAGGGTCTCACTCCGTAGTCCAGCCTGGAGTGCAGTGGTGCAGTCTTGGCTTACTGCCACCTCGACCTCCTGGGCTCAAGTGATCCTCCCACCTCAGCCTCCCTGTTATCTGGGACCACAGGTGCACACCACCGTGCCCAGATAATTTTTGCATTTTTGTAGAGATGGGGTTTCACCGTGTTGCCCAGCCTGGTCTCGAACTGGTGGACTCAAGCAATCCACCCGCCTTGGCCTCCCAAATTTTTGGGATTACAGGTGTGAGCCACTGCGCCCGGCCAACTTCATTTGTTTTTATCCCTGAATATTAGTTCGTTGTCTGGATATACCACAGTTTACTTTTTCATTCACCTACTGAAGGACATATTGGTTGCTTCCAAATTTTGGCAATTATGAATAAAGCTGCTATAAACACCCATCTGCAGGTTTTTGTGTGGACATAAGTTTTCAATTCCATTAAGTAAGTCAAGGAGTGTGATAGCTGGATCATATGAACCATATGCTAAGAGGATATTTAGTTAGGTAAGAACTGCCAAGCTCTTCTAAAGTGACTGTACTATTTTGCATTCCTACTAGCAATGCATGAGAGTTGTTGTTGCTCCCCTTCTCACCAGTATTTGATGTTGTCAGTGTTTTAGATTCTATCTATTCTAATAGGTGTGTAGTGGTATGTCATTATTACTCTAATTTGGAATCCCCTAATTACATACGATGTTGAGCATATAATTATTTGTCATCTGTATATCTTCTTTGGCATGGCATCTGTTCAGGTCTTTTGCCTATTTCTTTCTTGCATTGTTTTCTTGTCTTTCTTTTTTTGTTTGTTTGTTTGTTTGTTTGTTTCTTTTTTTTTAATTGTAGAGACAGGGTCTTGCTCTGTCACCCAGGCTGGAGGGTAATGGTGCATTTATATCTCACTGCAGCCTCAAATTCCTGGGCTCCAACAATCCTCAAGCCTCAGCCCAGTGACTAGCTGGGACTACAGGCATGCACCACCATGCCCGGGTAAGTTTATTTTTTCTTTGTTTGTTTGTTTTTGTAGAGATGGGTATGTTGTCCATCCTAACCTCAAGGGATCCTCAGCCTCCCAAAATGCTGGGATTAAAGGTGTGAGTCACCCTGCCTGGCCTTTTTTCTTATTGTTAATTTTAAGAATTCTTTGTAGATTTTGGATAGCAGTCCTTTATCAGATATTTATTTTTCATGCTGGATATGGTGGCTCACCCCTGTAATCGCAGCACTTCGGGAGGCTGAGGTAGGAGGATTGCTTGAGCCCAGGAGTTCAAGATTAGCCTGGGCAACAAAGCGAGGCACCCCACACCCCCACACCCTGGTCTCCACAAATAACAAGAAAAATTAGCCAGATGTGGTGGTGCATGCTTGTGGTCACAGCTACTCGGGAAGCTGAGGCAGGAGGATGACATGAGCCCATGAAGTCGAGGCTGCAGTGAGCTGTGATCATGCCTGGGTGACGGAGGGAGACCCTGTCTCCAAAAAAAAAAAAAAAAACCCACATATTTTGCAAATATTTTCTCCCAGTCTTCCCCTTCTCTTGATAACATTTACATTATAATATCTATTATAACTGTTTTTATTTTCTTTCTTTACAGCAAGTGTATTGCCATTGCTTTTGTGTCAGCCATGAAAAGAACACAAAGAGATGGCAGAAAGAGAGACTACAGTGGAAGAAACAACACACACTGCAGACACACCCAACTCAGGAAGGACAGAGTCACTCTCATTAGCTAAATGTGTACAGTCCAGTTTGCTGAGCCAGTGCTTATTGGGCTGAGCGCCTGTGATAACAGAGCATGGGAACAATATTGATCACAGTGTAGTATAAGAGATAATTAAGTATAATTTATTTAGGGAAATATTTCAGAGAAAAATACCATTCTGATGAGTCAAGCACATAAAATCCATGATAAAGAGAATGTTTTTGATGGGTATGGGAGGGAGTTTCAAGGGACCCTGGCTCCTCCTGGAGGGTGACAGCGTGGCCCTTCCAAGTTAAAACAAAAACTGCCTGGAGAAATGCAAGGGGTCTTTGTGGGGCCCTGAAGACTTCCTGAATCTGGATAAAAATGTATCTTTGTTTGGTTAAGAAGACAAGAGTGCAAAAATCCTGTAATCTGTCATAGAAGGAGGGTAGTCTGAGTCTGGCGTGGTCTTCTTGTACTGTGCTGAAAAACACAGACATTTTTGAGATATTATGCACAAAAGTGGGTTTCGGGTTACCTAAGTGCACTGTTCCTGACAAGTGAAATTGTACATGGAGGTATCTTAGGTGCTGCCCAAATCATGCAGGAAGCTTGAGGAAGATACCTTACTCTCTTATGCGGTGCCAAATATCAGACACACACATCTCCGAATTTCATATGAAGTGCTGAGCTCTGATATTAAATATAAAATATTAAACACATTTATAAAGGTCACTTGCTGTTGGAAGTAACCGCTTGAGGAGAGGCTAAGGCTCAAGACACTTCATGTGGGAGTGGCTATTTACTTCAGCCACTCTCCATCCAATCCACCACTAAGAAAGGGCTGCACGATCTTGAAAGTCCAAGAAATGAATCCCCAGAGCTGCCTTCTAACTTCGGGAGACTCTATGCTCACATTATTGTAATGTCACAGAGGCCAATACAAAAGAGTGAAGAGCCTCCACTCTCCCCTGCACACATAGAAGCTTTGCTACATGTGCTCCTGGAGCCGGCTTACAACTAAGTATCCCCACTGCGGGTGGCACATTGACCCAGCAGAGATCCTGAGGTGTACCCTTTTTCAGTCTCTCCTCCTACAGGTTATCAATCAGAGGAAACAGTAAATTAGAACCTTCTAAGATTGATCACACCAGCTTTTAAGAAACTTGCATTTTAATTCAATATAATCCACAGGTTCAGAAAAATGAAAAAAAGAAGCTCGCATTTTAAGCCTATACTCAATGCTGGCCCTTATGCCAAGTATCAACAGCCATAATAAAGGCCAAATACTCCATTTTGACTTCACTTCAACGGACTGTATTTGCCATTCTGATTTTTTACCTTTAATATATCTTTAAAAATACTCTGAAAAAATACACTGAGTCATAGCCCATAACTTAGAATGGAATCTTAAAAACGCTGAGTCTAACCTCTTCATTTTAGAGAAAAGTAAACTATATTCAATGGAGATGAAATGCTTTTCACAGGTTGTCTGTGATACATCTCACTCTTAGTTAAGCGAAGAGACATGATATGATACAGTCTTGCTGTTTTTGAGATCCAAAAATCCATTTACCCTTCTATTGGGCGTCAGTTTTCTCAAGGGAACCCTTGCCTCCCTTCACCCCACTCCTCTGTAAACTATGCACCAAAACGGACACATAGACAGATACCCTCTCAGTCTATGCCATTCTGGTATAGTAAGTGACACAAACATAAAACAATCAGCACATGGCATCTGCTCTGACCATAGTGATTGGTTCAGAAATGGGCAGTGACTCAATCAGAGTGAAAAAGAGAAAATGAGACTTTACTGGCAATGTTGAGACAAGGCCCTTCGCTCTACCCACAGAGTTGAAGTACAAAGACGTAAGAGCCAGAGGTATTATAGCTATCCTACAGTCACAAAAGGTCAGCCTGCGTCAGAATGAAACAACACAGGGGAAAGCAAAGCAAAGGATGTTTTCTTAATCCTTTTATCAAGCCATGCCTGAAGCCAGCCTTGGGCCCTTGAGTTTTCAAATACAGTGAGTGAATAAATTCCTTTTCTAACCTAGTCTCAGAAGTTACCTTTGAACTTACTGTTCCTCTGCCTGGAACACCCTCCCTGCTAGATAACCACACAGTTAGCTCTACCCCTTCCTTCAGACCTTTATTTTAAATAAAACGCTTTTCAACAAAGCAGTTCCTGACTACCATATTTAAAATTGCAACCCTCACCTTTAACTTTTTTTTTTTTTTTAAGAGATGAGGTCTTGCTATGTTGCCCAGGCTAGTCTCAAACCACTGGACTAAAGTGATCCTCCCATCTAGGCCTTCCAAAGTGCTGGGATCACAGGCATGAGCCACCACTCCCAGCGTCATCTTAACATTGTCTATACTCCTTCATTTATTTTCCTCTGTAGCACTTATCAACATCCAATACTCTTTACATTTTGTTTTATTTTAATTTTTGAAACGGAGTCTTGCTCTGTTGCCCAGGCTGGAGTGCAGTGGCTCCATCTCGGCTCACTGCAAGCTCTGCCTCCCAGGTTCACACCATTCTTCTGCCTCAGCCTCCCAAGTAGCTGGGACTATAGGCGCCTGCCATCATGCCCAGCTAATTTTTTGTATTTTTAGTAGTGATGGGGTTTCACCGTATTAGCCAGGATGGTCTCGATCTCCTGGCCTCATGGTCCACCTGCCTCGGCCTCCGAAAGTGCTGGGATTACAGGAGTGAGCCACCGCGCCCGGCCTACTCTTTACATTTTATTAACTTCCTTCATTGTCTCACACTAGAATGTCAGCTCAGTGAAGTCACATATCTTTGCAATGTTCATCGTTGTATTTCCAGTCTCTGGCAGAGCCCCTGGCACAGAATAGGCACTCAATGAAAACTGGTTGAGTTGAGTGGATGAATTAATTCACCACATCTATTTATCTATTATACTGTCCACAGTGATTTTCATTTTAGGAGACTTCCCTATTTTTTTTTTTTTTTTTTTTGAGACAAAGCCTCTCTCTGTCGCCCAGGCTGGAGTGCAGTGGTGCAATCTTGATTCACCACAACCTCCACCACGCAGGTTCAAGCAATTCTCCTGCCTCAGCCTCCCAAGTAGCTGGGACTACAGGCTTGCACCACCACACCCGGCTAATTTTTGTATTTTTAGTAGAGACAGGGTTTCGCCATTTTAGCCAGGCTGGTCTCGAGCTCCTGACCTCAAGTGATCCACCCATCTCAACCTCCCAATGTGCTGGGATTACAGGCGTGAGCCAGCATGCCCGGCCAAGACTTCCATTTTAAGCCTTTTGCTTAAAAGGCATCAAAGGCACAGAGAATGACCACAATAACAAACATGGAAAAGTTTTGAAAGTCCCAGAACCTGACAATAATCTCATTGTCTTTCTTTCTGATCTGTAGGTTCTGAGTGCCCACTAACAGGATTACCTGAAATCCGAAACACTGCAGCCTTTTCTTCTAAAGCATTGGAGTTTGCCTTTTTTCCTCTGCTGGCCCTTACCTTTAGGCAGAGAGGTATACTCCTACCTTCAGGAGGGAACAATTCAATCAAAGAAACAATTAAGTCAGCCTGAGCAACATAAGATGATCCCAACTCCACAAAAAATAAAAAGTTAAAAAAAATAGCTAGGCATGGTGATGCACCTGTCTTCCCAGCTACTCGGGAAGACTGAGGCAGGAGAATCACTTGAGCCCAGGAGCTCAAGGCTGCAGTGAGCGATGATGGTACCACTGCTGACGGAGATCCTGTCTGTAAAAAATATAAATAAAAAACAAATAAGAAACATACTAGGTACTGTTTTATCAAATTGAGTAATTTGCATCTCAGCACCTTTTCTAACTCTCAGAAGAATGATCTCTCTCAGGAGTTTTCTCACATTTTTCAATAGCAAGAAAGATACATGAGCATATTTTCTGTTATTAAAACCTAACCCCAGCACCCTTCTAATGGCTAAGATAAGAAAATATCCATAATGCAGCCCTGCATGGGGCCATTACCATTAATATTAACCTCCTTGGCAGCTCTAGGATAGAGTATAACCACAGCTATTCTTGTTCCCTCCCATGTTCTTTCCTGTGACTTTAAATTAATACATAGGCCCCAGGAAATTCTCCAAACTCTCTGTGGCAGTCCAAAGCTAATGGTGCCATAACACTTTTGGAGCACTATTTTTTGAAATAGACCATCTATTAGTCCAAATGAAAACTTGGCAAAACAAGGCTGAAGGACAACAAGGACAACTCATTTTGCATTGAGTAAAATAAAGAGCAATAAACCTGCAGTCCTTAGATTTCTGTTGGAAGGGTGTGGGGGTGGAGAGAAGAATAAAAAGCCCTGCAGCCTTGGCAAAACTCATGCTTTACCTTTCCTTTGTGGGACCAAATTTAAATAAACAAAGGCCAAATTTTTCCATGAGGACTTATGTTCCCAGATGGAGTACAGTTGACAGGATAAACACAGACTAGTTAATCATTATTTCCTGCCATTTCCTGGTTATCATGATCTGCTAGAATTTATTAACAAGATTATAAAGGTAGGTGTGCAAAAGAAAACCAAAGAAGAATGTAAGAAGATGATATTATCTTCTTACACCAGTACTAGAACCTGGATTTCTACTTATTGGTGTGGATTCCCACTGAATTCATCAGAGATTCCATTCCAGTCTCCCTAATTAAAACCCTCATGCATTTGTGCATTGACTAAGACCAAGGTACAGTCAGTCACAGGACACTGTTTCACATGGACTTCTGACTCAAACTTTCATGTCATTAGAAACATGACATAATACTTTTAACATTTGAAATTTAACCAAGATTTCAACTTTTACAAACCTTAATTATTCACTCTTATGGACAAAGCCTTGTGCTAGTGTTCATCCTTAAACACAAACCTGACCATTTTCCTGACTTAACTACTCTCTGGAGCTACCGCCTACTAGAGAAGAGGTTAAGCGTGATAGGATTGGAAAAAATCAAGAGATGAACTCAAAATGGGGGTCTCAGAGAGTTTCTGAGAGGAGATGGGGTGAGGAGCATGGCCAGGGCTTTTAGAGTCACTGATGCATTCATTCATTGGGTATGTAGTGTGTACTGCTGAGCTAGGTAGAAGGAATACAATGTTGAACAAAGTGGTCCAGGTCTCTTTATCCACATGGTGGAGAGACAATCTTTAATCAAATGGTCTCTCAAACATGTGTATAATTAAGAACTGTGGACTATTTGGTATAGGAGCTGTGACAGTGAACTAGTATCTAACTGTATTAGTCTGTTCTCACGCTGCTATAAGCACATACCGAGACTGGGTAATTTATAAGGGAAATAAGTTTAATGGAACTCACAGTTCCACATGACTGGGAAGGTCTCACAATCATGGTGGAAGGTGAAGGAGGAGCAAAGGCACGTCTTACATGGCAGCAGGCAAGAGAGCATGTGCAGGGGACCTGCCCTTTATAAAACCATCGGATCTCATGAAGCTTATTCACTGTCATAAGAACAGCATGGGAAAACCCACCCATGTGATTCAATTACCTCCCACCAGGTCCCTCCCATGACATGCGGGGATTGTGGGAGCTACTATTCCCATAATCCCAAGATGGGATTTGGCTGGGGACACAGCTAAACCATATCACTGACCTAGTCTAAAGGTAGGAAATGGGGAGTGACAGATCATGGAAAGCTTCCCTGAGAAGTGATCCTGGAGTGAGATCTAGAGAATGAGTGACCATTATGCAGCTAAGTACTGCTGGAAGAAAAACCAGGGAGGGCCCTGCTGGCCATGACTATGTTGGGAGAAGGCAGGGAGGAAATCAACTGAAAGGAGGTCTGTGTGGCTGAAGCCCAAAGAGACGGGACAAAGAACAGCAGCAAATAAACTGTGGGGTGTGTCTAGGGAATGACGGCACACAGTCCTGGCTGGAGAATAACATGCATGGCAGTATACAAATTAAACTGGAGATCATGATCTGGGTCTTGCACATTCTGAAAGAATAGGCAAATTAGGCTCAAGAATTTGAATAGCATTCTTCAGGCAACAAGAAATCATTATAGGCACATAGTGACAAGGTCAACCCTGTTTAAGGATGATTGTTCTAGAAGCAATATTGAAACAGACTTTGGCAAAGTGGGAGAGTAGGGAGAGCCCTGGAAGGAAAAGACAATAATTACAGGCAATTGTAATAGCCAAGTAAGAGAGAGCAAGATTCCAAACTAGGGCAGTGGGAACTGAAAGAAATGAACAGGTGTAGAGACACTGTAAAGAAGAATCAGCAAATGTGATGGTTGATTGGATATGGATGTGAAGGTGGTGGGGGATGTTGGGGGAGACAGAGAGAGAAGCTCACAAATGAATGAAAAGATTTGAGCCTGAACATTATGAGGAGGAAGAGAAGGAAGACGAGGAGGAGGAGGAGGAGGAGGCAGCGGCAGAGTTGGCCGCCAAAATCAGAGTTCAGGAATAAGAGGGCTTTAGGCGGACAAGGCAGGTGGATCACTTGAGCCCAGGAGTTTGAGACCAGCCTGGGCAACAGGGCAAAACCCCATCTTAATACAATGCAGCCATAAAAAAGGATGAGTTCATGTCCTTTGTAGGGACATGGATGAAGCTGGAAACCATCATTCTCAGCAAACTATCACAAGGACTGAAAACCAAACACCACATATTCTCACTCATAGGTGGGAATTGAACAATGAGAACACCTGGACACAGGATGGGGAACATCACATACCAGGGCCTGTTGTGGGTTTGGGGGAAGGGGGAAGGATAGCATTAGGAGATATACCTAATGTAAATGAGGGGTTAA